CAAAGATTCCACACACGTGAAACTCGAGTCCGGAGAGCCACGCGGCAGTTTCTCCCCCCTGCTCGTGGCGCGCGGGGCTGCCAGGTGGCGGCGAGACTCAGCTGTGGATCAGGGCGCGTGCTTTATTAGCCCGAAGGCGCCTTCTCCGAAACTGACCTTCACCCGGCGTGGAGTTTCAATGGGCCGGAGGACGGAAGAGTAATTGGAATATTTATGTTACGAGAAGTTCCTGCAAGGTCGGACGTGCATTCTCTTTAATTCTGCACTTGCACCCACTCCAGTCCCAGAAACAGGGTTTAAATCCCCCCAGTGGGTTGTGTAGATTGTATTATGTATTTGCCTTGTAATTTGCACTATCTGCACTTGGCACTATGTGTGTCCTGTCTACAGTGTCTATGTCAGTGTCCTGTCTGTCCTGCCTGTATTTGCAGCGTGGACGAGGAGGAGCGATATTTCCTTCCACTGTATACTTGTATGTGGCTGGAATGACAAATAAACGTGAACTTGAACCTGTGTGGGCATTCTGTTTTAATGATCACGAGCAGGGCGCTGCGTCTGCACGCGCAGGCTGCGAAGGCACACGTGAAGGTTTATTCCGCGCGTCACGCGTGTCACACCTGAAGAAGCTCCACAGCCGAACCGCTGTTTGTTTTCATTTCTTCCAGCGTAGAACCTTGACTTGTTCCGTTTGATATACAGGGGGCAATGCAGAATGCACGTTGGTGCAGTTTGAGCCATCTGTGCTTGTTTTGTAGAACTAGCAGTACCTCTTGTCTCTTTTAACTTCGGTAACTTTATTCTTTTGAGAAGTCGTCTCAGTTGTGTTGGCCTCGGTCCCCTCTTGCACCGTGGTTTTAGCTTCTAAATCCTACTTCTCGCCTGGAAACCCAGCGGCGTTTAGGAAAAAATAACCGTGCGCTTATCCTACTATCTGCGGGTCTGACTGTCAGTATTGAGCCCCGAGCTGCTGACTGGACAACAGCAGTCCTGAGATATATATTACTCTCCCAGTTCCCTGTTGCTCGCCTGAAAACGTGCATGTCTTAAAACGGATACAATACGCTCTTCCCTGTCATTGCAAAGGAAAATCAAAAACGTGTTTTTATGGTCTGCTTGTGGCTCGGGTCTCCGCGTGCTGTACAGGCTCCTCCGCGCGCCTGAGCGTGAGTGAATGTAGGTCACGTCGCGAGGCCGGACCGCTTGCGCTCCTAACCTACTGTCCGCGTGACTCCGAACGCGCCTCGGAGGGGAGGGGTGCGCTCACGCGCCTCAGACATGTCGGTCAGGGAAATCACCGCCGCCCTCTGTCTGCGAGGACTGGCTCGGCGGCGGGGGAATCGAGCTAAATAAGCCAGTTTAGACAGCAGATCAGGTCAATACTGCGGCAAATGTGCTCTGGATTGCGTGCCTCGTGTACATTTACTAACGGTTTCATTTTTCAGTTCCAATTCCCGATCGGGCTTTTTTTGGCTGGAATGTGATGCAATTGACCCAATAATACATTCAGATCAGATCACTTTATTATTGGCCCTATACAATTTCTTGCATTAGGAATCTGTCTTTTCGCAGACCCCAGCTTGCTCTCCAGGAGACACACAGACAGGGAGAGAAGCTCCAATACCTGTCCGTTGAAGATTCAAAATCAACGTTTATTTTTTTTAAAACAAACAGGGGTGCAAACGATCCTTTGGATTCGCTGCCTGCTCTCTAATTCACCGTCACCGATGATGGCTGAGCGTCGACTTAAAAGGGAGGAACACGTAACATAACATCACTCTATTAGCCCTATACAATTTCTTCGTCTTTTCGCCTACCCCAGCTTGCTCTCCAGGACACACCAGACGGGGATTGATCATGATTGCTCATTCTGTAATATATTTCCGACTTTAAACCACATTGTTCTTTGTAGATCTATTTAGGTCCATGTCGATAAGATGCATCAATTCATTTTATTACCCAAGTGCTTTTCATTCCGAATTATCTCCCAGTCACAGTCACGAATCTGTTGATAAACGACTGTTTTGCTGCGTTTCATTCTGCAAATAGAACAGATATAGGGGCAGCTCAGCGCCAAACAGTGGAAGTCACGTGAAAGACGGGCATTTGAAACAAAACAACGTGAGGCGTTGATTTATTGTGTGGGTTTTACTTTCACCAGAATTCTCTGTAAGTAATAAAAAAAACTAACTGGAGCCAAGTGGCACTCGCGCAGCACCCGCGTGCCATGTGAGCGAGCCGTCAGGCGCTCGCAGCGCCGCCTGGCTCTGAGCGTGAGCGGGCAGTGACGTCACCCGCGGGCCTGCGGTGGCTGTGCGCGGTCACATGGCGCGTCCATGTGAGGGCCGTGTTGTAAACACTCCTGAGCGCTGTAGGTGCTGTGGTGCAGCGTGCACCGCCTTGAAACCGTGTCGCTAGCGCTCTTTCACGGGACGTATCCGGTCCTTTTAAATCGAACAGGACCTCTAAAACTACTCGTGCAAAACCTGCTATTCTGAGCCAAAACCCGGTAGTTGTTGTGGCAAAGCCGTCGTAATTTGACACACGTTGTCGTCGGCGCTCATTTGCGTTGTGTTTTTACATATCGAGCAATCCTGTTTGTGTTCCAAGGCTGCGTGTGTAGTTGGCCGGGGTTTCCGCGGGGAAAACAGTGCTGTTTCATAAACTCGTGTGATTCATTGGCAGCCCAGCCCGAGACAGAACTGGGGTCCCGTGGAACCCAGAAGCACCATCGAGGTGGTGGAGCGCAAAGTGAATTAGAAACGTGTGTCAGGATCGCTTCTGCAGAGTCCGGCGGTACGTGTATGTTACTCGTGGAGTGAAATAACTGCAGCAGCACTTACCTGCATATTTAGGACAGGTCTCGGCTTTTCGTACATAACCGAGCCCAGCCGACCAGTCCCCTACCTGTCTGTGAGCGTCTTGCGCCCTCTAGCGGCCAGGACGGAGAACAGCATCTTTTGTGTCGAGTCATGCTTGGCGTGTCGATACCGCGCTGCGCGTTTTAGGACACCTGTGGCGACTCACGCGCGGCCATACAGCGGCTGGCCAGGTAAGCAAGTCGTGAACACGTCCAGAATTAACACCTGGGGGTTCACATCGAAGTACACAATGAGTGGAAGGGGACTTTGAGAACATCACGTCAGCGCAAAAAACAAATACGTGCTGAGCATATCGAAAAACGTTCACCTTATTCCGATTTCTTAAGTGATTAAGATGTTGGCAGAGTTGAATTTTATTTTAGAAATGTAGGATTTGGGGGAAAGGCTCCCAGTCCAGTAAAGCAGGTTTATTATGGATTCCTGCGAAGGGGGTCTTGGGGACCCTGTCGGACTCGAGCTGCCCGGGCGGGGTGTCTGATTGCACCCCAGACCTCGCGGTGTGGAGCCCGAAGGAGAGAGGGGCAGCCGGCGCTCAGTCCAGCCCTGTACAACCTGTAAAGCGCTTTGAGTGGAGTGTCCAGAAAAGCGCTATAGAAGTGTAAGAAGTTATTATTGATGTAAGAGAGGACAGGCCGGGCCGTTGTGCAGTTAATTAGCTGTGTCGTGAAGGAAACTGGGACACCGGTGACACTCCTCGTCCCCTCTGGGCTCCTCCCCTCGCTGACCTGACCAGTTGAACGCTTCTTTCCGAGCCCTGCGGCGATCAGTGATCTGAAGACTTGTGCAGTGCCTACTGGAGTCCCGCACCTGGGTCCCAGCTTGCCGGAAGTTTGCCAGTAGCGACATCAGCTCCCAGCTGGCAGCCCCCTGGAGCTCAGCAGGTGTGAGCCTGGCCAGTACCTGGATGGGAGACTCCTGCTGCTGGAGGAGGTGTTAGTGGGGCCAGCAGGGGGCGCTCACCCTGCGGTCTGTGTGGGACCTAATGCCCCAGTATAGCGGCGGGGCACTATACGGTAAAAAGGTACCATGCTTTGATGAGACGTTAAACCGAGGTCCTGACTCTCCGTGGTCATTAAAAATCGCAGGATGTTTCTTGAAGAGTAGGGGTGGATGCCGCACACGGGTGCTGGAGGGGATCTCCATTACCTGTAGAGCGCTTTGAGTGGACTGTCCAGAAAAGAGCTACAGTATATGAGTGTTATTATTATTATATTATGATAAATGGCTCCGACCACCCCACCCTCCCAAACGCCCCCGCGCTTCAGTCTATCGGCTGGGCTTTCAAGCCGGAGCGCGGCCGTGCGCATTGATCTCCGTCTCCCGGCGGCACTCAGGTGAGTCGGTGTTCCAAGCGAGAAAAACAGCTCTTCTCCAGCGCCGGTCTGCCGGAAGGACTATTTCTTGAGACCGAATGTTGGTCAAATTCCACTCACCTCATTTTCCCACCGGGGAATTCAAACATACACTCTTGGCGTCCTGTTTAAATTAAAGTGGTATGTCACTTGTAAGAGCCGTCTGTCCCAGTGACGACACTAGTTAGGTGTCAAAATTACAAAAACGCACAGCAGTACATTTCTCGGTTTAACACCGAGGTGTCTCTGGGTAAGGTCGGTGAAATCGCTGTGGAGATCGTTTAAAAAAGTGCATTTGTCTTATAGTGCACTACCAACGCTGTAATAATGCTCGCTGGGCGTTTTGAGTGTGGGTGCTAACAACAACAACAACAACAACAACATAATAATAATAATAATAATATAATAATAATAATAACAATAATAAGAATTATTATTATTATTATTATTATTACTACGATGTCTGGAAATAAAAGCTGTAGCTTTTTAAAGACAGACTGCAGCAGATGACCTTACAGTTAACTCAAGAGACTTGAGAAAGGACCGCTCGGAACCTGTTTACACTGAAGGCATGAAAGATATTTTAAGAAAACGGAACACATGTCCCCTGCAATCCCGCGTGATTTCAGTCTGTCTCCCGTGTGGACGTGTCACGGCTGGGACACTCTTCCAGGTGGCCCCCGCATGGTGGCGGCACGCGTGGAACTGAGCGGGGAGACCAGACCCCCCGCTGGAGACGGTGCTCTCGGCGGGACCATGTGAGTCGGCGCGGTTATTCATTCCTCGCCTTATCGTCTCACACAGCCCCCCCAGCCGACCCGCGCTCGCAAACGGGTGTCCGTACAAATGCCATGAAATCAAGCGGTAGCAGCGGCTCAGCCAGCGGGATCCGCCACCATTTTACAGTCAGGTCCTCTTGCCCTCCACTGCGCAGAAACGGAGACAAACGCGCGCCGCTGGGCGACCTGGGCGCTCAGCGTGTCGAAACCCCGAGAGCTTCGCGTGGGACCTTCAGGGCGCTGCGGGGACAGAGCCGCCCCAGACCGGACCACCGTGCACGGTCCCTGCTGCCGTGCGTGGGACGACTCGGAGATATTTTTAAACAAGGTATTACAAGTTTACAGTGAGCTCCGGCCGTTAGCTCCGTGCTCTTTTTCAATTCCTTATTCTAGTTCCTTCTGTCTCATCTCCTTCCCCCCCACTCTTTCTTCCTGTCGCTCAAGTGGAAACTCTGCGGTCTCGCGCTTCTTTCCTGCCGTCGTTTGCTTCTGCCAGCGACCCGGCACGCGCCCGCCTTCTCGTTACTCCCCTTTAATCTCCGGTCGTTTAAAAAAAAAAAAGAACCGATCGGGGGTAAGATAAAAAAAAAACCCCGCAGCGCGGTCGGGCTCCCTGACGTCACCGCCCCCCTCGCCTTTAACTCGGAAGCGGAGCCCCGGCGAGCTGCGCAGGCGCGCTGCGAGGCGCTTTAAACGAGTCTCGAGCTGCTCAACATGAAGGCGAGAGGTGAGCCGGAGAGGCGGCCCGGGGACGGGACGGACGGAGGGGGGGGGGCGGTGAGAAATTGTCGAAAAATCGCGTAATCTTCGCCGAAAAAACACCGGGGGGCGAAAGAAACCGCCTTCAAGGCTTTAAAATGGCGTTCCCCCGTGTCCCGTAGACGCCTTGTAGCGAGAGCGGCGAGCCCGCTGGAGTGACTGTTATTGTTTTTCGTCTTGGCTGCAGATCTAAAATGGAGGAGCTGTGACTGCGGGCTCTCGCCACTCCGTGGTTTTCCTTTAAAAAAAAAAAGAGAAAGAGTGTGCCTCGTAAGCCGAGAGGAAGAAAGCGGCGGTTGAGGCACCCCGCCGGCGCTAAGCCGTGTGTCCCGGGTGCGAGGGTGCGGGGGGGGGGTCCGCTTCGCCGCGGCCGGTTTGAAATTAAGAGGTGCCCGTCCTTTCGCTTGCAGATCTGCGGGGCGAAGGCCAGCCGGTGAAGGACAGTGCAGCTGGCACCCGCGGGCGGATTTTGAAGTGCATCTGAGGGACTGTTTCACTCCCCCCCCCTCCTTGTTTTTTTCCGCCTGGGGGGGGGCGAACCGAGAGGTAAGTCGGTGCAGGGTCGCCGATCTGAGACTGGAGCGTCTTCCCCACGACCCGAGAGCACGCGTGTCCACGCTCTGTTTCTGTCTTTTCCAGGTCGAGATCTGCTACAGCATCGTTGTCTGTCTCCCCCCCCCCGCGATACGTTTTTATTCAGATCCCCCCCCCACCCTACCCCCCCGGACAGAAGCCCACCCGTGTTCCTGGGGGTTCTGCAGGGGCCGGGGGTAGCGCCGAGCCCGAGCGTGTCCCCATGTCTGCGTAGAGCCATGAATATGAGATCCACTGTCTTCGCCAGTGGCTGCTACAAGCTGGACGCGGAGAAGATCGAGCTGGAGCGACTGCAGGCGGGCAGTGGCGTCAGGAGGGAGCCCCGCGACTTCGCCGCCGACGTGCACCCCGACGTCCTGGGGGACATCCGCAACAGCGGGGGTCAGCCGCACCCGGGCAGCAAGGCCAAGAAGCTGAGGGAGGCCCAGGCCAGCAAGGCGGCCCGCACGCCCGTGGCGGCGGGGCAGAACAAGGCGCAGGGGGCGGCCGTGGGGCAGGAGGAGAACTGGGTCAGCCTGGGGGCGCTGACGGCCCCGGGGAAGCCGATGGGGGGCGAGGGCACCCCGGCCAAGAGCAAGACCCTGTTCGGACAGACCCACAGCTCCATGGGCAAGACGGACCCGCCCGCGCTCAACGCCGCCGGGAGGAGCGCGGAGGGGCCCGAGAGGGGGGCCCCCGCCCCGGCCGGGGGGCCGCCGGAGCTGGGCTCGGAGGGCAAGTGGAAGACCGGGCGGAAGGCGCCCGGCCACAGCCCCACGCAGGCCACCTGCCTGCGCCAGATCCTGCTGCTGCAGCTGGACCTGATCGAGCAGCAGCAGCAGCAGCTGCAGTCCAAGGACAAGGAGATCGACGAGCTGAAGGCCGAGAAGGAGACGGTACGCAGGGGCGGGGGGGGGGGGGGCGGGGCGCCAGTCCTGCACCTCTTCCTGTGAGCCGCTGTTGCATTTGAAAGGGCGGGTGACAGGCGATCTGGCCTATTAGTCCACATTCTGTCGACTTTCGAACTGGTTTCTCCAGCACAGAGCCCGGGGGGGAGCCCAAAGCTGTCCTGGCTAGCAGCGGCCACAAGGAGGGGTACACCCTGGACAGGACCCCAGGCCATCGCAGGGCACCCACAGACCTGCACACTCCCACCAGGGCCAGTTTTCCCAGAAGCCAGTTAACCTTCCTGTTTGTGTTTTTCCCTGTGAATGCGAGGGAGAACGTGCAAACTCCACACGGACAGCACCCTGGGTCCAGAATTGAGCCCAGGGCTCTAGTGCCACGAGCCAGCAGTGCTAACCACTGCGTCACGGTGCCGCCCTCCATTTAGACCAGTAAATTGCTACAACTTCGCAATCTGCAGTTTTGAATCCGAGGTTTGAGGTCATGTTTGGTTTTCTGCTTTGCAGCCTGTGCTGTTGCTACCTTTCAAATTCGTTTGACCAGACCTGGGGACTTACGCTCGCTGTGCTATTGCAGTGACAGAACGTGCAACAACAGTTCTGACATTCACTGTATGCTTTAGTCTCATACTTAGCCATCACTGAAACTCTTTTAAACTGGGGGTAAAAAAAGATGATTTCTCTTTCGGTGTGACACTTGCACTGATGTATTTTTTTTTTCTTGGAAAGCTCATAAAGCACAGTGTGTGATTATAGCTCTGTCACTGGGACACATTTCCTAGTCTTTCCCCAGTTCAGGGTCCGGGGGGCGTTGCTTGAGGATTGGTGTTGCATGATTCCTGAGGGCCTGACGGGTTTGTACAGGCTTCAGTGCGGGTTCGCTACTCAGTCCCTGCTGGGAGTGTCACCCTGTTCATGCCTGGGAGGTACAGTGGGGGTGGGTGCTGGGCTGTAGTCGCGCCCGGACATGGGCCCAGCAGCCAGGCCTGTTAATTCAGGGCTGTCGCAGGCCCAGGGGTGCTCGCTTGGCTCCACCACTGCTGCTGCCTGTCCGGGCTGTGGGGGGGTGGGGGGGTCCAGGAGAGCTGTCTTCCTTGGCCTTGCTTGAGAGGCTGAGGACAGGGCTCTCTTGAGCTGAAGGGAGGGGATCAGAACACGTCTCGGGGTGCATCTACAAGTCTGTTAGCGGCAGTGTCCAGTTCGAAAACTTGCTGCTCGGGGTACATTGGAAGATACGATTTATTGTCCTCTGAGGGAAATTTTTTATGGACACCCTGCACCCCTGTACATTTAAATAGAATGCAAACAAAAGAAGAAAAGAAAAACATTGCACGTTATTCTATTACAAAAAATAAGAAAAACATTGCGCAACACTCTATTGCATATGTACAGTATAACACACAACAACATATTACATTTATAACGCATCACAAAAACATATCACACTCAAGTGGGTCGTAAGAGTCACAACTGTGTTTATCCTTGACATTTGCATTGACAGCTTTAATGGATAGTGGAGCAAAGGAGTGTTGGGATCTGTTTGACTTACATTTGGGAACCCTAAAACGTCTGCCAGAAGGAAGAAGTCGATATTCAGAGTTGAGGATGTGGGAAGGATCTGATATAATTTTTCCTGCCCGTTTGATTATGGATTTTTCAAAGATTGTCTGCGGTTTGGTTTCCAATGCAATGTCTGCATTGTCTTCAAACTGTAGAACGTTTTGGGTGCCTTGGTCCTCTTCCCTCTCCTCAGGGATGAGTCCTCTCCTCCAGCTCTGTCTGCTGCTGTGAAGCACGCAAGGCTAGTGCAGTTCAGCAGAGACTTGCACAGTGTCCGTGGTCTAGTGTCCGCAGCTGACCGACCAGGATTCCCGCTAGTGGGAACGGTCAGTTGGCCAGGTCGAACCAGAGGCTAGAGTTAGGCAGGGTGTCCTGGCCTTGCTGTGCCCTGGTGGCCGCTGTGGATGGCCAACAGTGTAGGGTGAGCCTAGCCAGCCCCTTCTCTTAAGGCTGTGCTGTCCCCTGTCTCACTGCATCGGGAAAACCAAGATCCCTGCCAGTGTATGAGTCTGAAAGATGCACGTTGTACACCTTGTTTTAATCAACAAGATTGGTAATAAAAGATTTTCAGGTGCTGGTTCTCAGAGCAGCTGTATTGCTGCTGTTTTAAGGCCAGCAGGAGCTCTCCAGTGTAATTCCAGATCCTTGCCGGGTCTGTGATGAGCTGAAGAGCACTGCTCAAGGTGCTGGGTCCCAGGGCTTGGGCTTCTAGCTGTGTATGATCTCCACCATCGATCCCGTCAGCAGGGTGAAAGATGCAGGGAAGTGGAGGGCGGTCCTTGCGCGGTTTGCCCAGAGGATCGGCCCGGCGGCGGGCGAGGTGCGGGGTTAACGCCTGCCTGTGTCTGTGTGCGCAGTTGCTCGCGCGGCTCGAGCGCATGGAGAGGCGGATGCAGCTGGTGAAGAAGGACTCCCGCGACAAGCAGAGGCTCTTCCAGTCCCCCGACTCCGAGGACCAGGGAGGGGAGGCCGATACCCCCGAGAGAGAGGAATTCCCGGAGGGCGGCGGGTCGGAGAGCCCGCAGATCCACAACGCAAAGCCCCTTCCCTTCAGCCGTGCCATCAAGGGCCCCAAACGGTAGGGCCGCCCTGGGGCTATAGCCTCTCGTCCACTGCAGCAGGCCTACAGAGCAGCAGGGCCCCCCCAGGCCTCTAGTCCACCCCGCCGGGGGCCCCCCAGGCCTCTAGTCCACCCCGCCGGGGGCCCCCCAGGCCTCTAGTCCACCCCGCCGGGGGCCCCCCAGGCCTCTAGTCCACACTGCCGGGGGCCCCCCAGGCCTCTAGTCCACTCCAGGGCCACAGAGCAGCGGGACTTTTATCGATCCCAACCTTGGAAGCAGGATGCGCTGGGCCTTTGTTGGATGGGCTTAGACCTGGAATAGGAGCTAACTGCGGCCCTCTAGGCCTGTTGTCGAGGACTTAACAGCTAACTGCGATGTACCTGCTGCTTTCACTGTGTAGCTTTTGCCCATGATTATGTCTGTATTTCTCCTGTTAAGAGTCTGATGCTGACAGGTATTCTGCAACAGGGGTGCGAATCTATTAGAGCAGATTTCTCCCCAGGTGAGATCGAATGCCTGTTTTGACCTGGCTGGTTTTTGTTTTGTTGCGTTTGTTAATCCGAGGTGCAAAACCAGTGCCTGTACAAACTTTTTCAGAAATACGAATAAATTACAGCATTTTGCACATGCTCTATTACGGACAGGGAATTCTGAATAACCTCGGAATTACTCAGATTGAATCTATTAAACAGAGGTAATAGGACTTCTAAGGAATTGCAATTGATCTTTTTATAGCACAGTTTAGAAGACGTACCAGTAGAGAAAAGGGAAAATCAAAATGCATTTTAACCTTGTGTGACGACAAAAGCACTTTTTTTTTTAAATAAAAAAAAAAGGGATGTACAATGTCGCCTTCTGTGCGTTCTGATTGCCTGGCTTTTGTTCATAGTCCGCTGTGCTGCACTCAGACTGCTAACGACGCCTTGTTGTTTTAATTAGGTAAGCATATGAACTGGTGTTCAAGAGAAAACGGCTGCAGTTTCAATGGTGGTCACCCATTTTGTTTGTTCTTTTATGAGCCTTCAGTTGCCACGCGTCTGGAGAGAGCTCCCGGGAAGAGCTGTTTTAAAGGGGTGGTGTTGAGTCTCCAGGCGTCAAGTCCTGGTACTTGTTTTTATTTAAGCCCTATCTCTTGTTTGTAACGGTAGTCTTTCTCCCCCCCCCCACTTTAGAAAGTTCTCCTTCCTGGACTCCCAGAAGACTCCCAAATCCCGAGGGAAGTCCTCCAAGCTGTCCCCGCAGAAGGAGTCGGAGTCGGAGGGCGGCTCGCCCTGCCAGCGGGAGCTGCGCAGCAAGGAGACGCCGGAGAAGACGTCGGCGGGGGGGCGGCCGCCGGGCGACACGCCCCCCCAGCCCCGGGAGGAGCCCGGCGGCGCCGCCGCGGAGATGGAGGAGCTGCCCTACATGGCCACCACGGAGATGTACCTGTGCCGCTGGCACCAGCCGCCGCCCTCGCCGCTGCGCGAGCCCTCGCCCAAGAAGGAGGAGGTCGTGGCCAGTGAGTACCGGCCGCAGGGGGGAGGTCCCGGGACCGCGGCAGAACCGGGCCACAGGTGGGGGGTCCCGGATCTGGTACAGCGGCAGAACCGGGCCACGGAGGGGGAAGGTCCCGGTCCCGGTATGGCGGCAGAACTGGGCCACGGGGGGGTCCCGGGACAGCGGCTGATCCGGGCCACAGGTGGGGGGGGTCCAGGTCCCACAACGGGATCCAGCCTTCCCGCAGCAGCCCTGAAGATCCCTGACTTAAGAAGATAAAAGGGCTTGAAAATGGCGAAGTTGTTTAGCCGTCTTGGTTATTAGTAGCCTAATGATCCGAGGATCTCTTCCAGCTGGGTCCTAAAGGATCACAGCAAATTTGCTCTAAAAATACGTCTCCCGACACCAGCCTGGTTTGCACGAAGAAGTCCATATTGTGTTCAGTCTTATAAACAGTGCTTCTTAATTTCCACTCCCTGGTCTTGAATGTGGAACACTGCGCTGTCCTCTAGTCATCTTTTCTGTCAGGAATGAGTTCAGAAAGCGAAGTGCAAGCAGTGCCAATGGAGTCGGGCAGCTGGTTCCCTGCGTCAGCGCCTGCACTCGCGCGTCTCCTCTGACCTCCTGCTCTCTGGCCTGTTTCAGTCCCCTCCTGGAGGGAGAACACGATCGAGCCCCTGGAAGAGGCCACGGCGTCGGACATCGCGGAGGTGAGACCCCAGGAGCTCCCCGTCGGGGCCGCGGTTTCTGGGGGACATTCCCTGCTCCCCCCGCCGAGGACGAGCAGCAGATTGAAGGAAATACTGACGTCTCCCCTGTAAACGCGCGTTAGGATTTCAGGTGGCGGGGTTGTGTGGGGTGCAGCGAGCCACCTGTGTGATTCTTTGTTTTTCTAATCCTCCTGTGTGTAGAATTTGGATGACGGCGCGTTTCTCAAACGGCACGCCAAGCTGGAGCTGGACGAGAAGAGGAGGAAGAGGTGAGGAGGAGAGATGCTGTTTTCCTAAAAACACGGCAAAACGCAGGCAGACGAGGAGGAATCGTTCAAGCTTAAACTGACTCTTCTCTCCCCCGTCCCGCCTGCAGGTGGGACATCCAGCGAATCCGCGAGCAGCGCATGTTTCAGCGCCTGCAGCAGCGCATGTACAAGAAGAAGGGGATCCAGGAGAGCGAGCCGGAGGTCTCCTCCTTCTACCCCGACACCGACGACGGTACGCGCTTCAGGACGCGGTGTCCCCGTTCTCAAAAACCGGGGTGACCCAGGAGGAGGCGGCAGCAGAGGACCCCAGGCTGAGAACCCGGTGGTTTGGTCTTCCTGCCTTTGACGTCTCTCTCCCTGTTCCTTTGCAGTGGAGTCCCTGATGATCACGCCCTTCCTGCCCGTCGTCGCCTTCGGACGGCCGCTGCCGAAACTGACCCAGCAGTAAGTGTCCCGCTCCCCCGGGCGAGCGTTTTGTATCCTACTTCCAACATATCCCGTGTCCAATACCCTCGATCCACTGGCTGGAGTAATATGGGCGACTCTCTATCGCGTAAAAACGTCAGTGTGAGGGACAGAAGACCTGCGGTCGAGTTTGCAGTGTCGCTCTATCCTCGGGACTATCCTAGGACCTCGATACCGTTGCAAACCACTCCCTCTGGCCTCATCTCGGGGCCCTCCGGCTGGGTGGAGGTTCGGGCTGCAGGTACTGTGGAGCCCCAATGGGTGCACACCGTGGTCTCGCAGAGGGTGTGGGTGAGGGCAGTCTGAAGTATTTTGGCCAGTGTGTGCAGTTATTTTATTGACAAGTTTTTGTCGTGGCGAGAAACAAAACTTGGATCACTAAGCAAAAAAATTGTACTAAAGAGGGCTTGTGAGTGCTTGCCCAAAGGTGGGGTGGTGGTACCCCTTACCCCAGCTGCCTCGGCTCCTGCTCGGGGCTGTAGCCCAGGGCCTCGACCAGCTGTGTTTGGAAACATAAACCTCCTTTCAAGTTAAGTTGCTGGTACTTTCAGATGACTTTACTCGTCGGCTGTTTATGGGGTAAAATCCATAAGTCATAGGAACTGTGGACCTGTGGGATTGTAAAATGCACAAGGGTCCACATGGTCATCAGCCTATAGACGCGTCACTAATATGACCCAGAGCTTGGGAAGGCACAAGCCCATTCATGAACCTCGGAGCAAGGCTGGTGCTTCAGCAGTGTCCCCGAGCAGATCGGGGGTGTGTGTCTGTTTCTCCAGCCCCCTCTCTGCAGGAGGTGGGGGTGGGGCGCTGACCTGGAATTGACCTCTGTTTGTGTGTGCTGGGGTGGCTGAGAGGTGACGGTTTAAAGTGAGCGTGTGTGTGTGCGGGCGCCCGAGGCCTCGGCCGAACTGCTGCATGGTTTGTGATTTATATATTTCAAGATGAGAACTAGGTGCTGGCGGAGACACAGAAAGCATTGTCTTCAAAATGCAAGAACTTTCTGCTGCACCGTGCTCCCTGTGACAGCGGCTTTCCTTTACGCCTCCTCGCCTGCTAGCGCATGGTCCAGACGGTGGCTTAATAACGTGATGAGAAACTTTTATTGTCCCCCTGGGGAAAATCTTTAAGGACGCAGAGCTTCGGTACATCTGAGTACAGCACAAAACATTCCACATAGCATATAGCCATGGCATAGTGCACATGCGTAGTCTATTATGGCTTAATTGGCTTTTACTGCCGCAGTGGCATTTCACCTTGCCATTTCTTTGTCTTCACTGCTATAATAATAATAATAATAATAATAATAACTGCTTACACTTATATAGTGCTTTTCTGGACACTCCACTCAAAGAGCTTTACAGGTAATGGGGATCCCCTCCACCACCACCAGTGTGCAGCCCCACCTGGATGATGCGACGGCAGCCAT